TTAACTCTGAAATGACTTATATCTGAAGATAGATTTATTTGAATAAGGGAAGAGCCCTCCCCCAAAAGAAACTTATTTTATTTTTATTTTAATTTATTTTTCTGATAGAATACAAGTACAAGTTCTGTGTTCACTTTCTTAGTAGGAAGGCTGATGGACAATTCAAGCTATGTAGAGTCAGTATAAAACTATTACGATGCAGTGGCTCAGTAGCTAAGATGCTCAGATTGTTGATCAGAAGGTCAGCAGTTTCATGGTTCGAATCCCTAGCGCCATGTAACAGAGTAAGCTCCCGTTACTTGCCCCAGCTTCTGCCAACCTAGCAGTTCAAAAGCATGTAAAAATCCAAGTAGGGACCACTTTGGTGGGAAGGTAATAGAGCTCCATGTGTCTTCGACATTTAGTCATGCTGACCACTTTGGACAGCACTGGTTCTTCAGCTTAGAAAGAGAGATGAGTACCACTCCCTAGAGCCGGAAACGACTATTACACATGTGCAAGGGAACCTTTACCTTTAAGACTATAAGATTAAGGTCAGATTCAAGGCAGATGAGACCATATAGGTCCGTTACAATAATAATCTGTGGGTGTCAATCACTCTTCCCCCTCTCAGTTAGTTGGGGTGAACAGGTAGCAGAACGTTGCTGAGGCTCTATTATGCGACAGTTATACACAGGATTTACACTTCTGGTCATTAATCACTAGTATTTTCATCTGGGTTGTTTTTCTAGTATCCATAATAACAGAATTATAACAGAATAACAGAGATGGGAGGGATGTTGGAGGTCTTCTAGTCCAACCCTCTGATCAAGCAGGAAACCCTATAACCATTTCAGACAAATATCGGTAGTTGTACAATTTCTTTTAAAAGCCTCCTGTGATAGAGTACCCACAGCTTCTGGAGGAAAATTATTCTATTGATTAATTGTTCTGTCGGGAAATTTCTCCTCAGTTTTAAGTTGGTTGTCTCCTTCGTTAGTTTCCATTCATTGCTTCTTGTCAGGGTTCCCTTACCTCACCAAAGCATTCCTAGGAGTTCAGGTATTATCCATGTTACTTTTTTGCAGACTCAAAGAAATTAACCATTTTATTTACAAGCAACCTCTCCTTGGAGAGACTCAGCCTCACTGAGATGTACTGTATATTGGGGTTGGACTAGAAGACCTCTGAGGTCCTTTCCGTTATTCTATTTATATCCTTCTCCTCTGCTGGAATATGATCTTGGCACTCTGGATGTTTATCATTGTAGCATTCCTGAACTTCTACTGGCCATCTTGAGACCTTCCTAAACAGGAATATAGAAAGAGTTCTTGGCTGGTACATTCTATTTTATTGTGATGAACTTGAATTATGAGACCATCAAAGGTCTCATAATTGTCATGTGTGAGATATTCCCAGATCATCATTCTGCAGAATTCCAGAAAGCAGCATTTTCTACATGTACTAATAACACACTGTAGGATATGTTTTTAATCCCATCATATAGATCTCATTAAGAAGAAAGCCAGAGGGATCTTCAAAGTATCTCGCATTTTAGAAGGAATTTCAGAGGATTAAAAAGCAACTTGTCATGTAGTCTTAATGTCATAGATGTCCTTGAAAAGCAACCCCTATCAATACAGCTCAGAGCCTTCAGATGAGCCTTATACCTTAAAAATATTTGCCATTTATTTGGTGGTATCTCAAATAGCATATTTTTCATCTATCTTTTCCCCTCAACTGTCAAGTGTGCTTTGGGCCTTATTTTTATGGTTCCGTCATTGCTATAAAATGAGGACTATTATGTGACTGGCCACCAGTAATATAATTTTATATTGGGACTTCTGGGATCAAGGACCAAAGACATTGCATATTATGGTTGAGAAATTTGACCTAAATTTTGCTCTTTTGTTATCTTCTAACTTTACTTTTTATTCTTCTCTGAGAATACTGTTTTGTTGTCTTTATTGTAAATACAATGCAAAATGAATTAAGAAATAACCAAGTAAATAACCAAAATAAAGTAATAACCAAAAGCCAACATGGGTTTGTCGAAAACAGATCAGGCCAGACTAATCTTATTGCATTTTTTGACAAAGAGACAAAATTACTGGACCAGAGGAATGCTGTTGATATAATTTACTTGGACTTAAGTAAGGCATTTGATAAAGTAGACCATAACCTACTACATAAAATAGAAGAATGTGGGGTAGACAGCATCACCACCAGATGGATCTGCAACTGGCTTGACCAACCACAATCAATGTATAGTCCTCAATGGAACTGCATCTACATGGAGGGAAGTAAACAGCGGGTTCCCCAAGACTGTTTTAGGCCCAGTACTCTTCAACATCTTCATCAATGACTTGGACAAGGGGATACATGGGGGATACATGGAGAACTCATCAAATTTGCAGATGACATTCTAGATGAGACTCTAGAAAGTGTGCAGAGAAGAGCAACAAAGATAATTAGGGGACTGGAAGCTAAAACATATGAAGAACGGTTGCAAGAACTGGATATGTCTAATTTAATGAAAATAAGGACTAGGGGTGACATGATAGCAGTGTTCCAATATCTCAGGGACTGACACAAAGAAGAGAGAGTCAAGCTATTCTCCAAAGCACCTGAGGCAGGACAAGAAACAAGATGGAAACTAATCAAGAAGAGAAGCAACCTAAAACTAAGGAGAAATTTACTGACAGAATAAATTAATCAATGGAACAACTTGCCTCCAGAAGTTGTGAATGCTCCAACACTGGACGTTTTTGAGAAGATATTGGATAACCATTTGTCTGGTGTAGGGTTTCCTGTATAAGCAGGGGATATTCTTCATCTTTTTCAAATGAAAAGCTGTAGAATCTTTTAGGAAACTTAATAAAAGGGAGATGGTATATCTAAAAATTGTGCCATATTGAAAACTCCACAGAGAAAAATGCTGGATGAAGAGTTATAACTTAGCTTCCTCAACCACATGTACAGAATTCTGATGGATGGCAGTTTCAGACTGAAGTGTACCTCAACTTACTCTGAAATAATTATAAATTTGAGAGAACTTCATCACTGGTTATACTAATCATCAAAAATGGATCTTGGGTCAATGTCAGAGACAAGGAAATGAACAGTCTCAAATAAGGACTGGATTTATTCACTGCATTTTATCTTCAACTTCAGAGTGCAGAACTTTCAAGAACTCAAGAAAATCTATCTAATAAATTGAATCTAGGAAATATTTCTGTGCCAGTTACTACCTCCATGCAAATGAAAACCAAGCAGTATAATTATCAATGAATTTGGTATTTTTATTTTCCATTATTAAAACAGCATCAAGAATAAAGCAAATATATTTATATAATATTGATGTTTCATTGTACAGAATTGAAATATTTCCCCCTCATCAGTTGATGAAATCTTTCCTCTCTTGTTAGAGTTCAAAGCCAGGCATATATCTCATTCTTCACTCACTAAATACATGTTTTACAAATGTCAAATGTAGAGATGAGAAAATTACAACTCTGGTGTCACAACTTTGAGAATGTTGCTAGCTGGAGGATATTGGATCTCCCCCTCATAGAAGCGTTCTGTCTCCACCCTTAATTACAGAAATCTGGATCATCCCCAAATATCTGGCGAGGGTTATACATCCAACTTTGCCCATCTGACCTTCTCAACAGCTTTTGATACTATCAATTATAGAATTTTTCTCGACCAACTCAGAGGATCAAGGGTGGACAGCACAATGTTGTGTTGCTTCATTTCCTTTCTTCAGGGTCAATTCTAGTTGCTGGTGATTGGGGAAGAGGGAACCCATGTGTTCTGCTGGATTTGAGATATGACATGCTGTGCAGGTATACTGAATCATCAGGGCCCAGGTCAACACATCCTTGGTCCCTACTATATGGAGTGCCACAAGGTACATGCTTTCTCCATTCCTATGACAGAATGGGACAACCTGCCCATGGCCTTCTCACCACAGTCAATTCACCATGGGCCAACTCGCTGCAGGAAAATTTAACCATTGCATTTAATTATTTAAAATAAATAAAAGATTAATTTAATTTTTGCCATGCACATTTCATTCTGTCCCTCCTTTTCTTTTATATTAATGTAGCTCTTATACCACAATGAGTTGTCCTCTGGAGAGTTGGCTGTGCAAGTTGTACCAGTGAGTTGGCCATAGTAAGTTGGCCATGATGGTCAATTCGTAGACCCTTCCTATGAGGCCATTGAATGACCTCATCCATCACCATGGGTTGAGGGCACCATCAGTTCATTAAGTAAAGCACATTTCTACTTAATTCCAATCAAGGATTAATAAAAGTGTTGAGAAATAGAATAGCTGGAACAGTTAGGGTAATGTGACTTGCCATATGGTTTATAAGGCTGCCAATTTCTATTTCTCCTTGTTGCAAAATTCTGGACATGCCTTCATATAAAATAAAATAAACTAAACAAATTACCTTTTCTAACCATCTCATTAAATTAGTCTGCCTGTTAATGGAATTGGCGAACTATTAGCCGCTCAAGGGCCCTTTTCACTTCTTTGTTTCTAAGGCTATAAATCAAGGGGTTTAGCATGGGAGTAATCATCCCATAGAGCATGCTCACTAGCCTATCCTGGTCTGGATGGTAACTGGAGGAAGGTCTAATGTACGTGAAGATGGTGGTTCCATAGAAAAGACAAACCACTATTAAGTGGGACGCGCAGGTAGAAAAGGCCTTACGTTTCCCCTCGGCAGAACGGATCCTCAGAATTGTGGCGATGATATGAGTGTAGGAAATCAAGGTGATTAGAAAAGCCCCCACGCCAAAGATGCCACCAACGATGAGGACAACCATCTCAGCCACGTAGGTGGAAGCACACGCTAAAGCCAACACAGGTGGGATGTCACAATAATATTGGTTGATTCTATTGGAGTTGCAGTAAGGTAGAATGAACGTCAAGGTTGCATGCAACAATGAATTGAGGAAGCCAGTGACCCACGTCCCTGAAACCATCTGAAGGCAAAGCTTCTTGTTCATGATGACCGTGTATCGCAAAGGGTTGCATATAGCTACGTAGCAGTCGTAGGCCATGACGGCCAACAGGAAGACTTCGGTCCCTGCCAGGGCCACCAGGAAGTAGAGCTGTATCACACAGCCAGTAAAGGAGATGGAACTGCATTCAGTCAAGAGGCTCTCCAGCATCTTGGGCACTGTAGCTGTGGGGCAGAAGATGTCCAGCAAGGAAAGATTACTCAGGAAGAAGTACATGGGGTTGTGCAACTGAGAATTGGTTCCTATGGCAAGGAGGATGGTGCCATTGCCCAGTAGTGTGACCAGATAGATAAGCAAAATGATGACAAATAAGGAAAAGCGGACAGCTGGCAAGTCTGAAAGTCCCATTAAAACAAATTCGGTCACTTGAGTCCTGTTGTCTGGTCCTTGGCTCAAAGGGGAGCATTCTCCCTGTAAGAGATTTAAAGGGGGGGGGGAATATATGTATAAAACATGAAAAAATAGGAGACATGGACAATAGAAAGCCATGATGTATTTCTGTTCCAAGAATGGAATACTCTCTTTTATTTATTTTGCCGAAAATGGGCTATGTTCCCAATTTCTACAGTTGACAATAGATATTTGAAAGCGGAAAGTAGAATAGATGCAAAATGTAATAATTTGAAGCATTAAACTCTCTTTTCCAGGGACAGAGTTATTAGCTCATATGAGTACAACAGTCCTTGTTTGGGACCACGATCCTTCTTTCAGGAACAAAATCCATCTTGACCTTCAAGGTTTCCATATCAAATGTCTTAAATCTATTTGCAATAAGAGACCAAACACTATAGAAATTTCATTTTAAAATTAAATTGGAATAACTCCACTTCGTGAGAAATGGACACAGAATTCATTAATTCTTTCTGTGTTTTAAAAAAAAATAACAAGCTCATTAATTCTTTCTGTGCTTAAAAAAATAACAAACTTTCATTTTGGCATGTTTAATCTGATGGAATTAAGGGAAGTTCTTTGTTAAATAGATAAAACCCTGCATTAAAAGCATCAAATAGCCCTGGAGCCTCATACAACCTAATAATTCAGACTGCAACCACATCTTGATCTATTAAATCCCATCCCAATACGTTCTGATAGGTGTTTTCAATTTGTTGCAAAATCATTCAAATTTTCATTTGGGAGCAGTACTTTTTTTTAAAAAGTTTTTTTGCTTGCTTTATTTGAGAGGAATCTTAATTTCCATATGTAGCCTGAAGCTAGCAGTTTTTAATATATATTATTATATTAATCATCTATTAATTTGCAAGTGTTAAGAACTAAATTATAGGTCTTATCCATTTCTGATAAATCTAATTGTTTAATTTCTTTTTCCCCTCCAAAGATTGGGGGAACCTGTAGCCTATGATCCATTATGAATTATTTATTTCGGTTCTGAACAAGTTGTCAAGTTGGTTCCATAATGGCATCTTATTCCCGAACTCACCTGTTTGTGGGTACACACACACACACACACACACACACACACACACACACACACACACATATATCATTGCTTATAACAACTGGTCTTTCTGAATCAGAAAATCCCAAAGCTATCTCAAAAGAGGGAATTTTTTCAAAGCTTTCAAACTGTCAGGGTTTTTTTGTGTATGTATGTGTGTGTGTCTGTGTGTTATACATCATATGTAGAAGGTGCAAATATATAACAAATGGGAATGAGTAATTCAGCTACATTGAAAGATATAATGTCTGAGAAGGTAGAAGGACTTCGGAACCACAAGGTGGCCATCTAGTTGGTGAACTCACGAAGAGGATTTGGCAAACACATGGAGGAAAAAGCTATCACCGCTACTTAACATGAGTGTTCTCTGTTGCATTTTGCAGTTGTTGGGGGAAGAGGAGAATAGGGCTATAGTGCTCTTGTCATGCTTAAGGAGCTTCTCAAAGGCTTCCAGTTAATCATTGCAAAAACAAAAGATTGTTTCAACTTCAAGTTTCAACTTCAGTGCTGTTCTTCTTGTATTTTGGATTCTGGTGGAGATGTCTGGGTCTCCGGGATTATTTTTTAGATCCTTCCTTGAACTTCTTCTGTTCCAGGTATTCCTGCTGGTTTTGGTTGGTCATAGCTGGGCTAAATCCTAATTGCCCCATTTCCTTTCTTCCTCCTTCTCCTTCAGTCCTGGCCCTCACAATGCTTCCATAAAGCTAATCTCTCCCAGTACTCACTGTCGACCGCTGCTGTTTTTCCATCTTCTTAACCCCCAAAGCCTAAGGATTTTTTCCATGTGCTCTGAAAACACGCAAGAGGAAAACCCTTCCTTTTTGTCACCAGTCAAATGGAAGTCTGCAATACAGTGGGAATTACTGGGGTTGAGGAATTGGAAGCTGTCTTTTCTAGCACAAATATCAACCAAAGAACTATTTCTCAGAGCAGCGAGGGAAGGTCCCAAGGTCAGGATGATACTCTCTGTTGTGCTGTTATTCCTCCCATGGCAAATCACTGCAACAGAGGAGAAAGCAAAGCTAATGAGACATAGTTGAATGCATACGTAGCTGACTCTTGCCATGCACTAAACCAGCGCTGCCCAAACTTTATCCTTCATTACCCCAAACCACTTAGCAAAAAGTCTTATCGAACTTTGAGGCCCAGTGGGAAAATTGTTTCCTTCAGTACCGTCGTAATTTTGAACAGTTGCTAAACGAACGGTTGTAACTTGAGGACTTCCTGCATTATAAAAACTGTAATCATCGAATGATTTTTTTTAAACATAATCTTAGCAAATTGCAATTGATAATTTCATCGATTTTGATCTTAATAGGAATATTATGGGAGATATTTGAATATATTTTAGCACAGGGGGGACAATTTAAATTTATTTTGATTTTTTTTAATTTAAATTTTAAATGGAAATTAAAGTCAATTTAAGTTTTCTTCTTGTGATAGGTAACTGGTTCCAGTGTCTTTACCCAAACGAATGGCACACATTTATCCAATTTGGATAATTCTCCCACATTTAGGAGGCATTGGGCTGGCTAAACTATGATTCCTAGTTAATAAACCTCGTGGTTTAATACTGTTCATGGTTACAGCCATGAGTTTTAAAAGCCACTGAGGGCCCAAGCTCAAGATGAGGCTTTATTTTGGTTTCCGATGGCTGCATTAGTTTGCTACTGGAGACATTTATCTCAGTCTGAAGAGCAAAAGTTCAGTGTCAAAGGAGCTGGACTACAAGTGGGGAGATCCATATTCTAGTGTTCCTTCCCCTCCCCACCCCCAGTGGTAGCTTCCTGTAGCTGGGACAGTCCATTTCTCTCAGATTCTCAGGGACAAGATGATTCAGTGGTGATGGTGTTGGACACGCACCCAAAAAAGGACAAATTGAAGTTCTAGTCCCCCCCCCCCCTTAACAATAGAAGCTTCCTGTGACTGGGCCAGTCCATTACTCTCAGACTCTCAGGGGCAAGATGGTTCAGTGGTGAAGGTGTTGGACAAAAAAATGGACAAATCCAAGTTCTAGTCCGCCTTCAACAATGGAAGCTTTCTGGGCAAGTCCATTTTTCTCAGTGCAAAGGGTAAGATGCTTCAGTGGTAAAAGGTGCTGCAATATAATTTAGGGAGGTCCATGTTCTACTCCCCCCTCAACAATGGAAGCTTCCTGCAATTGGGCCAGTTCATTTCTCTCAGACTGAAAGGTAAGATTGTTCAGTGGTGAATGTGCCTAGAAGCAGACAAATCCAAGTTCGGAGGGAGGGAGAACCCTCAACAATGGAAGCTTCCTGTGATTGGGTGAATCCATTTCTCTAAGGCCATGGGACAAGATTGTTCAGTGGTAAAGGTGCTGGACTAGAAGTGGGAAGATCCATTTCCTAGTGACTGGGCCGGTCTATATCAGACTGAGGGGTTAAGTTGCTTCAATGGTAAAGGTGCTGCTCTAGAAGTTGAGAGATCCATGTTCTAGCTCCCCCCTCCCCTCAACAATGGAACTCCTTGGGTGACTGGGCCAGTCCATTTCTCTCAGCCTGGGGGGGGGGGTGTCAGTGGTTCAATTGTGGATATAACAACTGTTCCCAAAGACTTTTAAATTTAGATTTTATTTTATTTTTGATCTTGAACAGTCAAGACTGAAGAGATCTTCAAAGAATACGTTGAGAAATGCTGTATTCACACACAAGCGCCAAAGTATATCTGCATCATTTCCAAAGTGTGCACAGCCCTGATTTTAAGCCACATTAACAGGAAAGCTTTAAAAAGAGAGAAATGTTCTCAACTATTTGTTTAGTTGCTGTTTGAAGTTATAATGGACTAAAAAAAAGCGACATGACCATTTTTTCAAAACCATTGCAGCGTCCCCATGGTCACATGATCAAAATTCAGGTGCTTGCCAACTGACTCATATTTATGACGGTTTCAGTGCCCCGGGGTCACGTGATCACCTTTCGCAACTATCTGGCTAATAAAGTCCATGGGGAAGCCAGATTCGCTTCACAATCGTGTTACTAACTTAACAACTGCAAGGAATCACTTAACCATTGTGGCAAGAAAGGTCATAAAATGGGGCAAAACTCACTTAACAACTGTCTTGCTTAGCAACGGAAGTGTTGGGCTCCGTTTGGGTTGTGAATCGAGGACAACCTGAATACAGTAAAAGAAACCACAATGTTTTGGGTGTTTTGTACATTCGGTTTTTTATTTTTTTATACCTACACATGTATTTTATGGAGTCCACAGGAGCAAAAACAAAAACAGAGGCTTTCCCAAATGTCTGATAATATTAATTTTAATATAGCTACACAACAGAAAGAAAGAAATTTATGTGGAACAAGGCAATGGGCAGAATCAAGGGATGTTGTCGAGTTAAGGACTGAAAACCTGGAGGGCCTATTAGCATCTTTTCTTATTAATACATCTGATTAAAAAGCAGAGATGATTTTTTTAAAACTGCAGCTGACACCATCAGATGCACTGTGCCTTTAAATAAAATTTTCTGAAAGGCACCACCAGGTTCCTGACTTTCTGCCACCATAGATGAACACTGCTCTCTACTTAAAGATGAGATTTCACTTGGTCCGAAGATTAAAAGAGTTCAACACAGAGGAGGGAGTTACTTCTAACTCTAGCTATAATATGTTTTGTGCAATTCTTGAAATGCCTTCCAACAACAGTAGTTAAACACCCTCCTCTCTCTTTTTCTCTCTCTCTTCACTCCAGAGGTGGGTTCCTACCAGTTCACACCAGTTCGGTAGAACCGGTTTGTCAAATCTACCGAAACGGTTAGAAGAGGTTCCACCAATGGACCCGGAAAGCAGGCCACACCTACAGAAGAGGTTCCAAAAATTTTTGAAACCCACCACTGCTCCACTCCCACATCCAAGCTCAGATTCTGGTGATTACAGGAATTACCATTTTCTAGACAACCATGCAGAAGTATTTGATCACTCTTTTTGAACATTTTTTTCATTTCCCCAGTCTATCTTATAGCCCAGTGATTTCCTAATCGTCTCCTGTCCAAATACTAACCACATCAAAGATTTACAAAACCAGATCCAGGGGGCCTAAGGGCTGCCTCTTTCTGTGCCGAATCACTTTTAGCCAATATGTATGTAAAAACCCTATACTCCTCAACCAAACATCCTCTCAATATTCACTGATTTTGAGGAAGGTGTCCTTCATCTTTTAATGACCCAATATACCCTTGCGGGGTTGACTCTTAGGAACTGAATGGAGCTACAAGAATGGTGTTTAATGGCCGGGTGCCCTTCCTGTCACCAATGCAGAGTTGTGTTCAGAAGATATATTCTCATTGTGCCCAGAGAGAGAAATATCTGCCTCTACCTAAATCCTGGTTGTGAGGCGAAAGCGCCACCTCTAGACCACCACACCACTCCTTGAGGAAGACCCCTTGTTTTATTATAATTTCTTCATTTAGCATTCAAGTGTTTTTAGTATTTATGGCAGGCTACCTTGAAGAAGAACAAAACAGCAAATACATTAATTAGACAGTTCTTTTCCTTGAATCAGGATTAGGATTACATTGGTGTCCGTGTAATAGTGATTCCAAGTATGACTAAATTACACACCACTGAAAGTTAAAACAAATTTTGCTTTCCACCATCTCAGCGCCATAGTTATTTAGGATTTATCAGTTTTTTCAAGGCTCCTTTTACTTCCTTGTTTCTAAGGCTATAGATTAAGGGGTTCAGCATTGGGGTAATCACCCCATACAGCATGCTCACCAGCCTGTCCTGGTCTGGATGGTGGCTTGAGGAGGGCCTGGCATAAGTGAAGATCGTAGTCCCATAGAAAAGGCAGACCACTATTAGATGAGAGGCACAAGTGGAAAACGCCTTGCGCTTCCCTTCTGCAGAACGGATCCTCAGAATGGAGGAGATGATATGAACGTAAGAGATCAGCGTGACCAGAAATGCCCCCACCCCGAAAATTCCCCCAAAGATAAGGACAACCATCTCAGACACGTAGGTGGAAGCACACGCTAAAGCCAACACAGGTGGGATGTCACAATAATATTGATTGACCTTATTTAGTTGGCAGTAAGGAAGCGTGAAAGTCATTACAGTGTGCAACAATGAATTGAGGAAGCCAGTGGCCCACGTCCCTGAAACCATCTGAAGGCAAAGCTTCTTGTTCATGATGACCGTGTA